TTTCCCTGTGTTTCTTGACTATTTCAGCTGAGCACTGGGCTCAGGGTCCAGGCTAGCTTAGGGGTACTAAGGTAATATACACAGTTGACCAGCAAAATAATTTTGAGTACTCATCGGAAGTCCACCCAGGACTCAGGAATGATTGTATAGAACAATCACACTGGAAAGTGCTTCAGAGTATCCACCCCAAGAACACCCTGAAGGGGAAGCAAGGCTTCCTGTAAGAATATGGCAAGAGGAGGATGAAGAAACGCCCTTCTCCCGTATCCTCACAGTGGAAATGGCAAAGGCTTTCTCAGCCTGTTCTACACTAAAAACACTAGGCCAGCACAGTTCTACCAGGAGACTACTGTGTTTTTTATTGTATATCGAGCAGAACCAGAGATCAGCATGGAAGCATGGCCTTGGAACGGTTATATGCAACAGCTGGAAAGCACCGTAATTCTGAATACTTACCGCAAGAACATTTTCTACTGGACCCACGTCCTTCTGCATGGAAACAGAGCAGGAGAAAGAAATTCAGTTCTTGGATATCATTTCAATGTACTTAGCTGTTCCCAAAGAATATGGCAATAGCTTTTTACAGGTGAGTTCTGCACTCAGAGTGCTGTGCCAGTACAATCCCACCACTATAGCACATTCTCTGCTGCAGGGGATATGAGGCCATGTCTATGCTAAGGAGCCTGTGCCCACATAGCTGCTAGCATAGATGCTGCATATGCAGACATAAGGATTTGTTCCGAAATAACACCACCACCTGTCTGACTGACATTCAGGAAGGCGACAGACTCGCTCTTGCGTCGGTCTAGGTCATGATAAGCAGCAACGCTACGTCTACACTGGCATGAATTTCCGAAAATGCTTTTAACGGAAAAGTTTTCTGTTAAAAGCATTTTCAGAAAAGCGCGTCTAAATTGGCAGGATGCTTTTCCGCAAAAGCACTTTTTGCGGAAAAGCATCTGTGGCCAATCTAAACGCGCTTTTCCGCAAAAAAGCCCCAATCGCCATTTTCGCCATCGGGGCTTTTTTGCAGAAAACAAATCTCAGCTGTTTACAGTGGCCCTTTTGCGCAAAAGTTTTTCAGAAAAAGACTTTTGCCCGAATGGGAGCAGCATAGTATTTCCGCAAAACACTGACAATCTTACATGAGATTGTCAGTGCTTTTGCGGAAATTCAAGCGGCCAGTATAGACAGCTGGCAAGTTAAGATGAGGTCTTTGCACATGGTGTTCATGGTATTTACTTGCCAGGTTAGGTAAACATTTTTCTGCCTCTTCAAGCTTTTCCTCCAACAGTCCAGAGGACATGCTGACGATATTAGATGTAAAGAATATTTTGAATAGGCGAGGAGAACCCTGGATCCGCCTTCCCGCTCACGTAGAGAACCCGAACTCAGACACAGGGGATGCCCAGATACTGTCCTTGAACAGTTCCCCTTTGGGCAGAACAGGAATTGTCTAATTTATGAGAGAAAATCATCAGTATTATAGACTTGGCTGGAACTTTTGGGCAGGGACAGAGACAAAGAAGAGTGGCAGCAATAGATTGTTACTGTCTACCAGGCTATGCAGCAACTTCTAAAACTCCACATTTTGAAAGAAGAGAACCAATGTACTGGTCTGATTTCCAATCATGAGGCATATGAGGACTACTTTTAGCTGAATGTCACCCATTGTTGTTCTATCCCCAAATATTTTATGGGAGTGAAACTGATTTACTTCTCAGATCTCCAATCTGCTCCCTTATACAGATGAGATCACGTATGTGACACTGTTGTGTCCTGTCTGAGGTGTGGAGATTCACAGGATTGCCAGGGATGCAAAACACACATTAGATGTTACTGCATCTGGGAAGTGGTTGTGATAAGCAGCGATCACAGGCACGCAATGTCCTGCCTACTTGTGTAATGGGAGAATTGAAACAGCAAAGAACAATTGTATGAATTCCTCAGCATCTCTGATGAGTGAGGAGTTGTGTGCTTTGCCTCGCTCTTTCCTTGTGTTTCTTGGCTATTCCAGCAGAACACTGGGCTCAGGGTCCAGGCTAGCAAAGGGGTACTAAGGTAATATAAACAGTAAAGTAATGTTGAGTACTCACCTGAAGGCCACCTGGGAGCTGCTGGAAGGAAATAGAGCAGGATCAAGAAAGTCAGTTCTGATATCAATTCAGTGTAGTTGATTCCTCACCATGACAATGGCCAGACTATCGCGCTGAGCCGACAAACAGCTGATCAGCTGTTTGTCGGCTCAGCACGGCAGCCATGTAAATTTAAATGAAGCGGCGATTATTTAAATCGCCGATTCATTTTACTATGTCCGGTACCCTAATCTACATGCCTCTGTCGCCAGAGGCATGTAGTCTAGACGTACTCTTTAAAATTCCGTGCAGAGCCGGGGTCATCTGGGGACTCTCCAGCTGATCTGGGGCGCTGCGTGGCATTTCCAAGGAACCTGGGATCAGCTGGGGACTCCCTGGGTTGTGCTTTGAAATGCCATGCATGGAGCCCGTGATCAACTGAGGAGTCCTCAGATGATTCCCGGTTCTGTGGAAATGCTGCACGGAGCCTGGGGTTAGCTTAGGACTCCCCAGCTGAACTCAGACTCCATGCTGCATTTCCACAGAACCTGGGATCAGCTGGGGACTCCTCAGCTGACTCTGGGTTCCACAGAAATGCCGCAAGTACTCTCTTTTTCCTCCCCTTTGCTGCCTCTATACTATAGAGGCAGCAAACAAGAGCAACTAGTTGATTCAACTAGTCCTCAACATCCTTAGTGGGAACCACTGCTCTGGACTACCTTTGCCCTCTGTATAAAAGCTAATGAACTTTTCATGTACTGGTGCCTTGGATCTGTCATAATCAAGTGTACGTGTGGGTCATGTTGCTAAATTTCCTGAAGGTTTTGAAAGACCAATTGATTTATCTTCTTTGGCATAATTAAATCTTTCACAACATTTTCAGTGTGCAATAAATTAAAACACTTAATATCATTCAGTATTTCACATATTCTATTATTTTCAAAAAGAAAACCCCAGTGACTCTGGAGAACTAAATATTTACTACATAATGAGAATTTATAACTAATATTTTAGTCTCTCCTAGTTAGTAAATAGGAAATGTTGCCTGTCAGAAGGGACTTGCTTGATGCTACTTTCCAGTAGAAGCCCTATTTTATTCAAAATAAGAGGGAAAATTTGCTTCTTCTGTGGAAAGCACTGGAGAACTTTGAAGTTTTTTTGAAGTGAATGTGTAAGGAAATGAACATATCAGCTGATATCACTTTGGTTACTATAGGTTTAACCGTCTCTTCCACTAACACAGTAAAGTAATTTTGAGTACTTACCAAAAGGCCACCTGGGAGCTTCTGGAAGGAAATAGAGCAAGATCAATGAAATCAGTTCTCTGATATTAATTCAACATAGTTGATTCCTCACCATGACAATGGCAACAGCTTTTCCAGCCGGCTCTGCACTAGGAGCACTTTAGCAGTACAGTTCTACCTGCGCACTAGCGTGCTTTAACCAGTATAGTATATTCCAGTCCGCCAGCAAAGTGTCCACTACACAGCCTCTGTCCACAGAGTTTCTAGAGTAGATGTGGCGTATGCAGACAGAAGGGCACTGATTGATGTTCACTAAGCCAACCGTCACGCTTGTGCGTTTGGGGAAAATTTGTAAAAAAGCTGTTTCGGTATTTTTTCCAAAAAGGGATTTAAGAAATCAAATAACAAAATCGAAAATATTTGGGGTTTCATTTTCATTTTTTCCATTTAAGAATGAGAGAAAATGGAAGAAACTCTTCTATTAAAATATGTGTTTGTTTTGGAAAAAAACATTCTCTCATAAAATGACAAACTTCCAGCGGTTCTACATTATTCCGGTTGCAAAAATGTCCGAGCATACTGCTTGTTGTTTTGAAAATTAACTACATTTGTTAGTAGCATGAAAGTGCAACTTACAAATGTAGCTATATTTGTAAGAACTGCACTCGGTAAC